CATCCTTGCTCAACCCGCTGTAACATTGCTGGAAGATTCAGGCTCTTTTTCCGTCCCTGTTTCTTCTTCGGCACTGTCTGAGTAAATCGGATCTATTAATGGCTTTGTGTGGTGTTCCCCAAGTCAGTCTCACTGCGAAGGGGATTGCCACGTGCACATATCTCAGTTAATTTTGATCGTAAACAGGTAGTGACACTGCAAAGTGACAGGTATTCAAACTAAAACGGCGGAACACGTAACTGAGACTTCATATTATCCCGAGACAAACTATAAGCTGTTACTCGGCCATGAGTGACAAGGGATTGGGGTGACGGAGAAATACTTAACATAAATAAGGGGTTTTTCATGCAGGTAAAACATGAGAATGTACTTATCACATCATATGATGGGAGACGCTATCTTTCAGACTTAAAACCATGTGTTATTCAAAGCCAAAGAAATTTCAAAGGAAAAGTAGAAATTAAAGTATTTTGGGTTGGTGAGTTTGTGATCTCATATATCTTTTTTTTTACTCAGATATTTTCACACACAAATGTATATTACTTAACATATAAAAGAAGTTGTTTTTTTATTAGGGGTAATGTTTTTTTAAGATGAATTAACAACTGTAATTTTCTGTTAAAAGATTTCATTTCAGGCGAGATGTTTGTCTATGTTTTACTTTCAAGTGGTTTATCATTTGATAAGTGTGACGGATCACAGCAAATACCGTTTCAACATGATCAAGATGTCCACTTCATACCGGTCACGATATCACTTCTCATACATTCTCTTTTCTCAGTTTGGAGTATGTTTTTGTTTTCAATAAGTGATCTTCATTTACACAAGCAATTCCAACATGGACATAGTCAGCGTGTAGAGATAGGATTCAAATGATTACTGATGAGTTACCATGGAAACACAAGTTTTCTTAAACTTTTCATTTCCAAGTGATTGTGTAAGCGGTTTGTGATCAAAGAGAGGAATTCCTTTCTTGCATTGACGGTCTCAATGTGTCGGGCGACCGCCTAATGCCATGCTATCGCAGGGTCGGCCATGTTTGTTTTTGATCAGTCAGCGACGCCAGGGAAGGACTGTGATCTCGACCAGTACCTGCACACAGCTAACTCAGCTTTGATTTGTTCGTGTGATAATTGGCATGCTCTGAATTGGGATTAACGCATTTCGCATCCAGCTCTTGATTTCCACCATTGCTTGTGGTCTTTAATCAGGACTGAGTACTGTAGTACTGCCTCTCTGATTAATGGCACCCGGGGCTGAAATAGCTAGGTTTGTTGAACTTGGTCCTTAAACTAGCTTTTCTATGTAGTTAGAGCATTGTTTGAGAATTGAGGCACTTTGCTGAGTCATCAATTCCTTACCAGCGTCTTTTGGAACTTTTGGTGTTGAATTTTCACAAACTTTGAATCATGAAACATGCATGAATAATTCAGAATAACTATCATAAAGATGACTACACAGAGATTGAAATTCTCACAGGTTCTCGGGACATTTTGACGGATGTTTATCTGTAGATAAACATAGATATATTAATGGTTTGATAGGCATTACCTAGAAGTTGACCGATGACAAGATAGACACAATTTTTATGGAGAACAAATTCTTTAATACTGGGAAAAGCAAGGAATTATTATTAAAGTATTAAAGAAGTTGTTATCCATAAAAATTGTGTCTATCTTGATATATAAATGGTAACATACACATTCTGGGAACACCTTGGCAGACTTTGTTTTGGTACTGGTTCTGGAAAATAACTAGGGGTGTCATCTGTTGATAGTGAAATCAACATAAATGGATGAATGAATGTGAAGAAATTCTCAGGAGCCTTAGCTGGTTTAATTGGTACTGGTTCTTTTTAATAACTGAGGGTGCTATCTATAGCCTGTACAGTGAGCATGAATGTATGAATAAACGTGTACAAATTCCCTGGACATTAACTGACTTTTTATTAGTATTTGTGGTGATATCTTTTCAGTTAACTGTATGGCCAATCTGTAAGTTGGATTAATATATGTGTGAAAGTGTTTTTATGATAATAGGAGTATGTGGAGTGTATGACAAATCAGTAAGAAGTTGAAATACATAAAAAATACTCTGTATGATCTTTTCCATGGGCAAGGATGTTTTGGTGGCCATTTTTGTGGACAGCATGGAGAGTGAGGTTTATGGCGATGTGTGTTATGTACGGGAACAGTAGGGGGCACAATTTCACTGCAGCTTTAAAGAGAGCCTGTCAATGACAGTGGTGTGAGAAGTACACGGTGTGACAGCACACAATCAGGGGCTATTGTCACACATACAGGCTCCACACAGGGTTACAGGTTTCACTGACTTTGCTCAGGGAGGTCGCCAATCTACATGTACACTCTATATGCATGAGCTGTTCCAGAGTAATAAATTCTAATCGTTTTATTATGCAGGAATACATGTTAGAGTCTGAAAAAGCAATTATTTCACTTTGATCTGGTGTCGGAGTTATGTGTGCATTGATAAATTATGACATATTTTAGCATCAGAGTGCAGAGATGTAAGGAAGAACTTAAGTAGTCTTACACAGTCAAATTATCGTTCCAGGTTGTGCAAATAGTTCCACAATATACAGGTTGTCTTTGATTTTGATTTTCTATTTTATCATAGTTTTGTATTGGGACATAAGTGTTTCTTGTTTAAATGTGTGAGGAATTGATTTATGAGAAAGGGTTTCACCCTAGCTGATGTACGATCAGTGACGGCTATGCATGAAAACAACATGAATACAATCTACGCCAACAAAAACATTGTACACGAGTTTACACACATTACAAACATAATCGCCTGAACCACAATATATTATATCCCTTTTTTACCATGCAGACACCCATTCCGTAATACCATCTGCAATTATCGCCACTTACATGTTCGTTTTTGTCACTTATTTTCTCGCTGTGGGAAGAGGTGTAAAGGGGAGATAATGTTTTGCTTTCTGTTCATATTTATGACATGTCGAAACAGTTTTTGTGTTTTATCAGGAATAATCTGCCCTGTACAAATTAGTGTTGACATAAAAGAGTTGGTAGGAAGGTTATCGCCAGTTGTTATGTTAATAAAACTGCCAGTTTGAAAAAACACATGTACTCTCCCTGTAGCACGACCACACAGCTTGTATTTGCCTGGTAAAAACTTTACGGTTGAATTCTGCCAATACCAAAAAATAAATTTGATTTGTTAAGTGCAGCTTTCTTTACATATTTCTTTATGGGCTGAATTCACAGCAAATGTTTACTTTCAAAGTTACACCTCTTTCTTAACATGCTTAAAATATTAATAGAAGAATAATTTCAATTTCAATTTACAAATTTACAACTGAAATCCTGCCTCCAAAATTATATTGGTTGTGATTCTACTAATAGAGGCACAGAGAACAATAACCTGTCAGCAAAGACTTTTTATCCCATTGATTCTCCTTATATATTCATTATGAACTGCCGACTCTAAAAGTTATAGCCAGACAGGGAGACTGTTTCACCACGGACACCTCTGACCAATGAAAAGTTAAAAATGGGGTTATAATTATTAATTACCAGGCGTAAGTCAGGGTGATACCTAAAGCTAACAAGGGGATATCTGTCTTATCAGCTCATCTAAAGGAGGGAGCACAAGCGTAGGTACTAGAGAGTTGCCCATTTTCGCCATACAAGTCGTTCTTCACAGATTGGTATTGTCCCAATGTTTACACAGTGATAAAGTTGTGCAACCTTACCCTCAACCTGTGGCAAATGTCTATTTATCAGCTTCACGTCTTTCTCCGCCAACCGGTGACATGTCCTTGCCCTATAATACAGGTTTGGGGCCCCAGTAGAGTAGGAAGGGCAGCTGATATGGATATGTAATAATGGGTATCAGATACCCCGGCTGGCTTAAAGGCTCCGGTTGTTACAAATAGTTTGACAAAACAAACCCATTTTCGGGTAAACTCATGCATGCGTGCTCATAGTGTGGTATTTAACATAGAAATTAATGGCGGAAAAACTGTTGTTTGGTGATAAATGTTTGCAAAGTTTTCAATATGGGCGACGATAATGCCTACAGACATGCAAGAAAAAATCCGAGGCATTGCGACCAGGTTTAGAGTGGTGTTCCATTTCGTGAGTTAACCACCCCGAAATCCCCTTGACACCACCCATCCAGGTCTTTCATTTCCTGGATAAAATTACACATTATTTCAGGATTTAAGTTTTGATAAGACTGTGCTATGCGTGGCAAATGTGTGGCATCAGGCAACAGGTGATTTATGAGGACAATTTCTGTGAAAATAAAATCATGTTTTGGGTTTTTAAAAAAAATAATTAAGTTACATTGAGCAACTTGGCTAAGAATTTTATTTGTAATTTCACCTTTTTTTTCATTTAGGAAAATACAATAATATGATTCTGGTTTCAATAATTGTTTTACCATGTTTAATAGGGATCTTCTATTTCACCAGCAAGCTGACAATTTGTTTATATGTGTATAATGATAAATATTTACATTAAGTTGTTAATACTTTGTAACCCTGTTTCTTTGTATACTCAACAAAAGAAGTTAGGGTCATGAATATTTTAGACTCGTGAAGATCTGGGGTAGAATAGGTCTTCAGCAACCCATGCTTGCCGTAAAAGGCGACTATGCTTGTCGTAAAAGGCGACTAACGGGATCGGGTGGTCAGGCTCGCTGACTTGGTTGATGCATATCATCGTATCCCAATTGCGTGGATCGATGCTCATGATGTAAATCACTGGATTGTCTGGTCCACACTTGATTATTTACAGACTGCCGTCATATAGCTGGAATATTGCTGAGTGCGGTGTAAAACAACAAACAAACAAACAAACAAACAAACAAACAAAACATGAATATTTTTGGGATATTGTGTGCTCAGTCTTCACTAAAAAAATATCCCTAAAAATATTTAGGATCCGTAACTTTTTTTGTTCAGTATATAATGCTGTTCATTTACTGAAATTCTATTTCTTCCTTTCCAGAGACCTTGGCAACAATGACATCAAGTTTATAAACAACACTGTCCTACATAATCTGTCGTCTCTTCAAATTCTGTAAGTATAGCTTCTATTTGCAATGCTTTTAGTTAGAATCTCCTTTACCTACTTAAAGAGAAAAGAATCCATTTCTGAACCAAAAAAAACGTTTCAAGCTACACGTCTCATGGACAAAGTAAGAGTTCAACGTTTTGTTAATTCTTCAACTCGAAATGGAAATTTCTCTTTCAAATCAGCATTGGGGCATCTTTGTTGATCTTCTGTTTTCGAGATGTATTGATTTCTAATGTTTAACTGGAGTATTATTTGGGAGCAGTTAATCTAATTGGTATTATTAGCAAGACAGAATAGATCTCTAAAAGCTTTTGGCTAAAATCGAAATGTCTTGACGTGTAACTGGGTTGACAGAATAGTTGTTATGCAAACCGCAACTTCTGATGATTTTATTTTGGTCGCTTTTCAGTTAGTTGTGTTTTTTAAGCTTGATAAATGTCATAACATGGCGTATGTTCTGTTCCAGAAAACTCAACTACAATAAACTAAGCGAGGTCCCTGTGATGTCGACAAATTCAAGTTTAACAGAATTAGCATTGTAAGTATAATTGATGGATAGCGCCCCCAACATATGGGATAATTAATATTGGTTAATTCAGGCATCACAGTTTAGTTCAAATGCCAGTCAAAAAGTGTTTTGACAAATCACCGGAACTTTGTCCCCACGACACCGATCTAATGATTCACGCTAAAGAAGGGCTTACATGCAGCAAATCAAAGACCGTTCCTGCTGCTTTCTACCCAGTGTTACCTGGATGGTTAACGATGTATGTACCTGGCAGGTGTGTGGACAGGCATGGGGGACACTCAATGGCGACGCCGGGACCGTCAGAAATTGGCCCCCTGCCTCAGTCACTATGGTACCGGGTTTACCTCACTAACACCTCAGCCGTACTTGTAGATAAATCTCACTCTGCTTGTGATAAATGCTTCTTTGGCTTCTAGAGGAACGCTTGTTCAGTCAGATAACTCTGACCTGTGGCCGGCAGGCAGAGATAGCGCACGCTTTTTTACTAACAACATGAGAGTTTAGCACGCTCAACGTGCTTCCAAAGGCCCTGGTTTGAGCACTTGGGATTTGGGCAATACCTGGCCTCATAATTTATTAAGCTTAATATTTGCTACATGCGGTTGTGAGGATGGGATGGCAGTTATTAATACTGCACTGACGTGTACCCCTAGTATTTGAGTAAGGGAATTAGGGCTTGAATCACAGCGACGATCAAACCTTAGATTAACAGATTGCTGATCTGAAAACTCTTCCTGACAGATTCTGCCATTAGGCCATTTCTCACCTATGCGCTTTAACAGATTAAGACATTTTTGGATTGTTGAATCATTTAGGTAACATACCCGTGACATTTGATGGGGCAAGTTGCAAAAATATTTGTTCAGCTCTCTGTTCTTCAGCTAATCATAGCCTTACAAGACTCACTCCCAGATATTCTTTCTGGTGATTATTTGCCCAGTCTTTGGCTGCAAATGAAAAACGCCACGTGAAAATTTCAGAAATTACAAAATTATCTGAGTTGTATCACATATTGCTGCCGAGCAGGGCCAGGTGTGAACCGCTCAACGATGCTTTGTTTAAAGATGCCCAAACACAGCATCCGTCCAGTCAGGCAAAATCTGCATTGAAGGTGGGGATCAAGCATTGAAGATTGGAGGGGGGGAAGAGAGCGCACAGGACAAGTTTGAAGATGGGGGAGAGAGAGTACAGGGTTAGCTTGAAGATGTGGGAGGGGGAGAGGGCACAGGGCTAGCTTGAAGATGGGGGCGAGAGAGCACAGGGCTAGCTTGAAGATGGGGGAGCCATCAGGGTTAACTCTCACATCTGTCAAAATACACTACTGTATTTTGGGTAGCGGGCGAGGAAGACCCAACGCACCAGTCACGGTGCTCCCTCCCTAAACACAGATTGTGTTGCGGTGTTAACACACTTTTTTCGCTTGACACATTGAAGTTGTAAAACACGTTCCCCTGAATTTCTCATTTGTCCATACCATCCTCTTTCATGCTGTGAAGTGGTTCAGGACTTGTTCCGTGACTCTGCAGAACCGTTCTTGATCTGAGAGGAAATGGTTTCGACTTTGGTGAACTGCTCTCGTTGATCATGGGCCAAACTAATTAGAGCAGTTAGTAATTTACATATGCTGTGCAAACTCTTGATGAGGACTGAATGGGTTTTAAGAAAAAGGGAGTTTTTTTCAATAAATCATGTGATGCGTAATATCAGGAATTGCTGATAATTGACAAGGTACTTATTGCACTCTTGTAACCATAGCATTGGTCGTTATTTTCAAAAGGGTTTATTAATTTATTTTTGAAAAAGTTTCAAAATTTATGTTTACGATAATATTCAAACTTGTACAGATCTTGAAATTCATGACAGCAGACTAATTTCTTTATTTGTATGACCATTCTTAGTGAAGCTTGGGGGTCATGTTTGATTTGCGAAGCTGTTAGTGATTTAATAACAAGTTTCATATGCTCCTCTGGTCTGATATCTTGGCAATGTGTTCCATGTGCTCTTAGTTACATATGCTGTTAGTTACATATGCTCTTAATTACATATGCTGTTAATTACTGTGGGTTGTGCCTGTGTGCATGGGTACTAATTGCAGGCATATTCTTTGAACAGCTGATTAACTTGGGCGCATGTTAATGGCCAGTCTATGGTGTACAAAGTATGCATGCTATCTCGCGGTGACACGACCCGTGAAGATCCGGGGTAGAACAGGTCTTCAGCAACCCATGCTTGCCGTAAAAGACGACTATGCTTGTTGTAAAGGACAACAGATTGGATCGGGCGCGCTGACTTGGTTGATGCATGTCATCGTATCCCAGTTGCGTGGATCGATGCTCATGATGTCAATCACTGGATTGTCTGGTCCATACACGATAAGTTAATAACATTAATACTTTTCCGTTTTTCTCAAGGAACCACAATGCTATCAACACGTTGAATCCAGAGGCATTCCAGTCAATGCCAAACTTGAAGACGCTGGAGTTGAATTACAATGAAATCATGGATTTACCTCTTGGGACTTTTCCTGCCAAGTCAAAGCTGGAGAAATTGTAAGTATGATGGGAAATATTAATCATAATACACAAAACAATGGTGCATATTTGTGGGGGAGCTGGGATTTGGGGATTTTATAAAAAAAATAATAGATTGCCCGAAAGTTCTTGACAAAAATAATCATGCTTTCAACTGTTGAAAAAAAAAAAATTGCCTGCCACAAAAAAAAAATTTGTTGAAAGGTGTTTTTCTTGATGAAAATATTCAGGCTCATTGTTTTAATTGTAAAAAATATCTGGTTTTGTAGCTTTATTTGAAACAACATCGAACCTCAATACACATGGTCTATCCCTGAAGTCTTCCCCTTTCATCGGGTTGTTCAGGGATGCAATTTTTGTGTGGATCTGCAGATTTCATTACTTCACTAGTGATAATACTGTACAATATAGGGGAGCAGCGGGGTAGCCAAGTGGTACGAGCGTTCGCTCGTCAGGCCGAAGACCCGGGTTTGATTCCCGACATAGGTACAATATGTGAAGCCCATTTGTGGTGTCCCCCGCCGTGATATTGCTGGAATATTGCTAAAAGCTGCGTAAAACCATACTCACTCACTCACTCTCCATATATATGGGTACAATGTGTGAAGCCCATTTCTGGAATATATGCTGGAATATTGCTAAAAGTGGCATAAAACCAGCATAAAACCACACTCGCTCACTCACATTACAATATATGAATGAATCTCGTTGTCCCCTGAACCTCCTCCTAACTGTCAGTGTTTTTGGAAGAAAAAACATTCACATCCCTGGATATCAAGGAAAAGCAGGATTGTTTAGATTGATGCATGGAGACAGTCTTGATATTTTCATTACGTAACTATACACCTGATATGTAATTTTTATGAGAGTTGGCCATGGAGGTTGGAGCCCTTGACAACCGACAATTTTACATGCAAGCACCCAGGTCTCTGATATTGGCAAAGACTGTCACAAGTCGAATATAGGAGCTTTTGAAATGCTCCACTGTATCGTATCAGGCTGAAGGGTGGATGTAAAAAGCATGACCTAATATGGATCCAAGTTTTTACAAAACCCACTGAATAATGGATCACTTATCAAGATACACGCATGTATTCTGTCCATGCATGATACGATGTGATATCTAAATCAGTGCACTTTATAGCCTGTGTTTGTTGGTCAGTCGTGTTAAACTCTATTTCTCTCTTCCAGGTTTTTAAATAATAATCGTATAGTGAGCCTAGAGCTGGGGTCCTTTGTTAATGTGACATCCCTGGAGTGGCTGAAACTCAACAAGAACAAGCTGATGGAGATTCAGAAGCACCAGTTTGTCAACCTGACGAACCTCAAAACACTGTGAGTACCACACCATGTTTCCCTGTGCATCACAAACAACTACATTATTCCCACCCAAACCCTCTTCTTCAGGTCAGGATTCAAATCCCAATGATCAAAGCTCTGTTCTTTTGAATAATCAGAGTTACATGAAATTGTGGAACTTTGCGTAAACTCTCCCATATCATTCACATCATTCTCTGAAAGCTGCGTGTAATTTGTTTTCTTCATTTTAGCTTGTGCATAAAAGAAACCTCCAATCTTTGGTTTTTTAAAAATGCAGGTTGATGAAAGTGTGATTAAAAATGCCACTACCTTTTTTGGTGCAGTCTCAAAGGTTCCTTCACTAATCGGTCATTGCACTATTTTTCTTTGTGATTTGTACGCTACTCAGCACAAAACAAACAGAGGTTTGCTAAATTAGAGAGGCTTTCCTGTAAACTTAATTGTGTCTTGAAGCCATGACACTATGCGCTTTGTTTTTATTTCGTTAACTTTGTAAACAGAGATGAAAAACACAACTTTAACGTATATTTCACAAGCCTTATCAACCTCAAAATTTGCTGCAAATTTTTTAACTTGTGTTTCAAACACGCATACTCCATCTTCAATATCTATGGTTCCATAACCCATATCTCCTTAAGTGTGCAATATTGATGGAAGCTGTGACAGACTTCTGGTGTTTTGCTGGTACTGTTGTAAATCACTTGATTAACATAAGCTATACAATTTGTGTTGCTTGCGTTTAATCGCTATAAGCATCTTGGCTGTATAATGAAATTCAGGTTTCTCTGTCCGTCAAATGAGCTTCTTTTTTCATAGCTTTGCAAAGCCATTCTGGTGGAATAAAAAACCTGTGGTATTATGTAAGGGGCTATTTGTTGAACCCCATCAAGGCGATTAATCATCAGTGAATATTAGATGGAAAACAGGACTATTACAGACAAGTCTAGTGAAATGGCTCTTGCAAGATCTCATGATGATTGAAGCTGAATTACTAAAGAAGGGTTTATATCTGGAGTGTGTGTGCTATTATCATGCAAATTGACAAGCTTTACGTGAAATGAGGGTTTGAAACTAATCGTTCCTATGACAGTCATTAGCAATCGGGAGTGTCACGTGGGACATTATATGTATCGGAACACGTCAGACCAGAATGGCCTTCATTGGCTGAAGCTGTTATCCACAGATTCGGTAATGGCGACGACGGTTCTTTGGCATTTTTGACGCGTTGACCCTCAAACATGCACATCAGCATCAATAAAGTCTCGTTTGCCAATCAATATCGGGAATGAATCCTGTGGCAAAGCAGGAGGCAATTTGGGGCGGCCTGTTGAGACTGAAGACCGAGCTATGTATGTGGGATATGAAACTGATCTGGTTGATAACCATTGTATGAGCCACTCGCGTTATTGCGATCTCAGTTTGTTGTAGAGCTCCCAGTTTGACATTCACATCACGTTTTTTGATAGAAGTTCTTGTCAGCGCTTTTTGCCAATGTTTGTATAAAAATTCACATCTGATCTACCAGGGAACATCATCAACAAAGTATGGAAATAATCAATGATATTGCGGCTGTTTTTTTGGGTTCTGACATCAGTAACCTTGGTGTTTTCTACTGATTTTTGTAGCTAATTGACATGGAGTATTTCAAGGCATGTTCACACAAGGCCAGGTGTCTAATCGCTGGCGATGGATGCGGGATAGCTCTAATGTCAGCCATTATTTAATCATATATGGAAATTATAGGAACTGTTTATATAATAATATAATAATTTGATGCAGGTGTTCAAGAAAGGGCAATTCCGCATGATACATTAATAATAATTCCCAAATATATGCCTCAAATTGACTGAAGAGTAAATGTCACTATCAGTCTATCTTTTCAGAAAAAAATAACCTGAACTTTCCCAGATATTTTTAAAACTTTATTCTCCTAATCTCACCAAACAGTGACATTATCACACGAGCCATTTTCCATACAAAGTGCACGAATTTGATATCAGTTATCGGAATTATATGTTACAGATGTTCCAGTATTTAAAATGTCTTCTGTAAATACAGTCAATCTGCATATGATATGATTCTGGCTTTCTACGGAGACCCACTGCAGCAGTTTTAAGGGAAAATAAACTCCATCCAACACTGCTTTGAATGATTCTAATTCTGAGAAAGGTCAAAGTTGCCTAGGATATTTGTTGTTTGATCTGAGATCCAGATTGAGGTCAGAGTTCCAGCGTTGACCCACAGTGAGTAGCCGGTCACTGTTGACTGACTAGTAGTGTTATAGAGAGAAACCCAAGCCAGGCAGCGAACACCTGTGTGATTTATAGAAGCCGAGTACACAACCCTCTTTTAATACACCCTCATTATAAGGCAATTATCGTATTGTGTAGCTGTGAGGGAATTTGATGAGGATATTTATGTTGATATTATTAGTGAAATCAAATATGATGTTTGCCGAGTGAAATTGTTAAGAAATCGCTCTTCCAGACCCTGATTCGTGCTATTTTTGTTTTCTAATTGTATAATCGTCAAAGGCTTGTCTGTAATTTACACAAGGTGCTTGATCGTAAGGGAAAGTTTTGAATATAATTATTGCTATTTTCTCTCCAAATGGCTAACTTGAATGCAAGTATGTTTATTAAATCATATGCATGTGATTAAGGGGTGTGGTTTCTGTTGAGATGAGTGCATCAAGTGCAACAGAGATCTTATTTCCGCACCCATTCATAATTCTTTGATGGGAAATAATACATACATTATTGTCACAAATATGTTTTCTTTCAGTGAATTAACGAGAAATCGAATACAGAAGGTGGAAGGTCTTGCATTTGCTGGATTGAAACATTTAAAAGTGCTGAAGCTTAAGAAAAACGCCCTGTCCAACCTGATGGATGGTGCTTTCTACGGCTTGGAGAAAGTGGAGACACTGTGAGTTGTACTCAGTTTTGTCCTTGTGTGTGTGGATGTTTGACATCACTATCAGCTAGACCTATGTTGTGTGTATGGCTTGGAGAAAGTGGAGACACTGTGAGTTGTACTCAGTTTTGTCCTTGTGTGTGTGGATGTTTGACATCACTATCAGCTAGACCTATGTTGTGTGTATGGCTTGGAGAAAGTGGAGACACTGTGAGTTGTACTCAGTTTTGTCCTTGTGTGTGTGGATGTTTGACATCACTATCAGCTAGACCTATGTTGTGTGTATGGCTTGGAGAAAGTGGAGACACTGTGAGTTGTACTCAGTTTTGTCCTTGTGTGTGTGGATGTTTGACATCACTATCAGCTAGACCTATGTTGTGTGTATGGCTTGGAGAAAGTGGAGACACTGAGTTGTACTCAGTTTTGTCCTTGTGTGTGTGGATGTTTGACATCACTATCAGCTAGACCTATGTTGTGTGTATGGCTTGGAGAAAGTGGAGACAATGTGAGTTGTACTCAGTTTTGTCCTTGTGTGTGTGGATGTTTGACATCGCTATCAGCTAGACCTATGTTGTGTGTTGTTTAACGCCGCACTCAGCAATATTCCAGCTGTATGACGGCGGTCTGTAAATAATCAAGTCTGGATCAGACAATTCAGTGATTGACATCATGAGCATCGATCCAAGCAATTGGGATCAATAACATGCATCAACCAAGTCAGAGCGCCTGACCACCTGATCCCGTTAGTCGCCTCTTACGACAAGCATAGTCGCCTTTTACGGCAGGCATGGGTTGCTGAAGGCCTGTTTAACCCCGGATGTTCACAGGTCTAGACCTATGCTACAAGCAGAGACCAGTAAAGTGCTGAGTCTCCACCGGACAAACCAGTGTTGTGTGGTATAAGGAGCCATCGGATTCAACAGGGTACAAATGACATTTCGTCACCTAGACATTTTATGTGTGTGTGTGAGTTGGGTTTAACGCCGCTTTTAACAGTATTCCAGTTATATCGCGGCGTGTCAGCTTAATGTGGGAGGAAAGCCCAAAGTGATGCAGGTCTCGGACGTTTACCACTTCGGTGAAACCCACAAGCACGGGTATGGTGCTGACAAACCTAGAAACATAATCGGGTATATATTTTTGCAATATTTTCAAACTTCTAATAAAGTTGTGTCTGCGTTTCAGGCTGCTCGACCACAACAACATCTCCAGCGTGCAGAAACGATGGCTGTATGGACTTGAGTCAATCAAACAGATGTGAGTATACTTGTACTATTCTACATTAAAAGTGTATATTCATAGCATCTGAAAAAGCAACATTTGAGGAATAGTTGATCATTAGATTATTTGGTTGGTTGGTTTGTTGTTTAACGCCGCACTCAGCAATATTCCAGCTATATGACGGCGGTCTGTAAGTAATCAAGTCTGGACCAGACAATCCAGTGATTGATATCATGAGCATCAATTTTTCCCAGTTTTACTTCCAGTAGCACAATATGATCAATAAAGTAAATAGATACTAAGATTTAATAATCAATGATCAGATTGAATTAATTAACCTCACAAAAACTATGAATAAATGTTACTGAATACCAGTAAGTGGATTTTGATTTTAGAAACAATATCACCATAACATTTTTTAAATATGTGTGCAATAAAAATATATTAAAAATTAAAAAATTATTAAATAAATACAAATAAATGCAATCTATTAGAGTATTTGCTGATGAAATAAACTTTTGGTTTAGATGATATCAAGGGTAGGACCACCTCATGTAGGACCATCCCGTGCATGTATGCGACGGTTTGAAGCATCCCAGCTCCTGTGAGGGCGTATGGAACTTGTGTTCTATGGACTATATCTAATCCCCTTACAATAGCTCAATCAAGCTGTACGCCAGCCTTTCGTTCTGTCCCAGATAACCTACCCAGCTTGCCTGCTTAATACCTTAGGAGATATACAATACAAAGTCGCTAGCACACAGAATAAAGAAAATCGTCCATGGTCCCCAGCCCTGTCACGGTATTTCCACACGTCTTGAAAGCTTATTTACGAATAAAAAGAAGAAATTGTATTCCCCTGTTCTGGATTTGGCCAGTGTGATGTTTCTGGGTGTTTGAGTCAAAACCAAGTGGAGACTACTTGAAGAAGGTGTCCAAGTCTAAACATGGGTAGTGAGTGTCTAATTGAAATCCATGTTTACCTACTGTGTAGGCATATTGGTGGGAAGTGCTTGGCAATATTGGGTATTGGATAAACGACTCTGTCGTGTAAATTCGCTGAACTACTTTCTGCCGTCTCAAGTGGAAGGTTATCCTTAAGGGTGGTGACCCAGCAAATGCTGTGAAATATGTGTAATAATATTGAAATTACTATACGTAAAGAAAAAATATGGAATAGGGGTTAAAATCGTAATTTTTGCCCCCCAATAATAAATAATAATAACTCAAGTGGTTTTTCGCTTGTTATTGGTTTAGAGTTTGTTAGTAGTTTTATCAAGGTAGTGTACCATTGACTGTGCACATCAATGCAAAGATGTTCATCACCAAGTATGTGGTAGAGTCTAATGGGTCTAGTGGGAGCCTGTCGTAGGGTAATGTGGAATTGGGCCGACAATAATTTAATTCAAAAGTGTGGAAAAAAAGCCAACAATTTTAAACCCACCCCTCAAAAAAAGGTCGGTCCCAAGAAGCATCGTTGATGAACATCTTGAGCCGACTTCACTATTAGAATACAGAACGTTGTGGAACTGTTAGGCTGTGTGAATGATTGAAGTGGGACGTAGGACTTCTTTTCTTTTTTTAAATATTGAAAACAAGTGTTGAGGGAGGAACACTTTATTTTCCCCACCAAGAATACCAACCAACACCTTGGCATACACTGAACCCGGCGTTTATTACAGTGTGAATTGTGGAGCAGGTATAACAGGCTGCTTCATATGCCGCGGGAAATTTGAATGTATTTCTTCATCGTCAATAAACATGACTGACATGCAGGTGTTAAAGTGAAGCATCCATGCCTGAGAAACATTTCCTTCTTTTTAAGCCTAAGTTGATAAGATTGCAAGCTAACAGGGGAAAACAATATGAGGGCTTATTTTGACAGTGTGTGAGTGATAACTTGCTAGCTGACTGGCCTGTGGAGAAGTAAAGACAATGACATGAGAGAGCCTCTGTTTAGGCTTAATTACGTCTCAAAGAGCTAAAGGAAGGTTGTATTGTTTCTATAATGAGGGGATTCTTGGTACCGTATTCAACGTAATAAGCGCCAAGGGTTGATCAATCTGAAGGAGTGCTAATTCGGATTGTTCACTGGCCAATATATTAGCAAATATCGCCGTGGGCACTTATTAGAGCGGGGCGCTTATTACGTCGAACACGGTGTTAGTGATTGGTTTCAACAGTATGTGCTTGTCTTCTGAAACTGTGGGAGAAGAGTGTAACAGTTCTGTACAGGGGGATATATTTCGCTGCTATAGGAAAATTGTTTTGTAAAGACATATAAAAAACAAAGGATGCAAGTATTAGTAAGGAGAACGTAGAATTGCAGAAAAAGGAAATGTTTTCTTCTTTTAGTTCTGGCTGAAGGAACCACAAGTTTTAAAGCCGTTGTTATGTTTATTGACACAAAGTTATTTATTATGTTTGGTTGGGCCTCAGTTTTTTTCCTTTAATGATGGAATAAGGTGCCCGAATATTTTCATGTGTACCATGTATCATACGACATCCTTACTATGAAGATATGTATAATATCGCTCTCTTACTATGAAGATATGTATAATATCACTCTCTTACTATGAAGATATGTATAATATTGCTCTCTTACTATGAAGATATGTATATTATCACTCTCTTACTATGAAGATATGTATAATATCACTCTCTTACTATGAAGATATGTATAATATCACTCTCTTACTATGAAGATATGTATATTATCACTCTCTTACTTTGAAGATATGTATATTATCACTCTCTTACTATGAAGATATATATATAATATTTCACCATTACTAAGAATATGTTTCATATCACACCGTTGCCATGGAGATGCAAATTGTAGCAACATTTAGAAGATAGGATAGGTCCTCTAGGAATTGTTGGCGTTCCATGATCTTTGAAACTGTTTAGTCTCATTTGCTTGAGTTGTTGGTATTCTCAAAGTTTTGGGTATTTGGGTATAAAGTAAATCCGACATCTGGGTTCCTGGTACTATATGGACAATGTCAATTGTTAGCTTGCACCAAGTTTTTGTTCAAACTTAAATGAAAAAGCAAGAAAACAAAAGAATTAGGAGACATTATAGCGAGCTGGGAGTTTGGACGTTAATGGTATATGTATTAGTGATGGTGGCTACATGTGGCGGCCATATTGTTGATGCTGTGCAGAGTTTCCACCTATGGAAAGGTCGGACGAGGGACTTTACACAACGTGCAGATGGTATACCAATATGGCTGCCACTGCAAAAATACACAGTGTCGTTGTTGGGTGTTGTACAAATCAGTGGCAGCTTTCATCGTGGGGTATTAGAACGAATAATTGGCCAGTCGATCTGTGTCACGTGTTGAACGACAGAATAATGAGTGTTTATGGGAGATCACTGCTCCATTGTTTGGATGAAGAAATGGAAATAGAGACTTTATTTTCAATATTCATTCCACAATTGAAAATAATAGATAACAAATGTTCTACCACTAATAAGCAATTTGAGAAGGTTATAACACCAATTTGAACATTTGGCTACGTTGCTTGTACAACAGTATAGATAAATAGCAGATATTTGGGTCAGATGAAAAGTTGAATTTAAATGAATTTGGATAAAAACGAAAAACAACAACAATAATAATAATATTAATAATAATAATAATAATAATCCTGTATATAGTGTGGACTGTACAAATGTGTGAGTCACATGTAGCCATGTAGTTAAAGTGTTCACTCATCTCACTAATTGTCAGGGTTTGATTCCTCCCGTGGGTACAGCCTACGTATGGTGTCACCAATTTTATCGAAGTTTCTTTGCTTTTCAGGACTCTATCACACAACAATATTCATGCTATTGAGCAGGACTGCTGGGGCTTCTGCAAGAAACTCACCAAGCTGTAAGTAACTTCTCACAGTTTTCACCTCTTGTTTTGGTTGTTGAGCACGTGCTACTGTGCTACTCTTGTACTGTGGGACTGCATGCGGTGTGCTGTTGGTTTTGTCGTAAGATGGTCTTAGCTGTAGTTGAGATACTTCTGAATAGTTAAAGATGTCCACTGTTGACTGTCTGATTTATGGCTTTGGTTAATTCGGCAGTCTGGTTTTACATCACATGATGTGCTGTGAGGCCTCTCAGATGCCTCAAGCCTTGATACTTCTTCGGGATGCCAACCTCACTCACTCACTCACTCACTCACTCACTCACTCACTCACTCACTCACTCACTCACTCACTCACTCACTCACTCACTCACTCACTCACTCACTCACTCACTCACTCACTCACTCACCATCCAATCCACATCGAGTGTATTTATTTGCATCTCAATTTAATATACTAAGTAACCAAGACCCATTTGCAATCCATAGCTAAATGCTTCGTTTGGGAAGTGACGTTCAGTGTTTCCAGGGTATTTGTCACAGTAGAATAAAGATAAAATGCCCTTGATGATCGAGGATGAACCCATCTTTGTCACCCCGCTGTAGCAGTTGTCCACTGTTGGCTGTCACTACCAGTTATGTCGAGTGTCACGTTAAGCCGTCAGTCAAGGCAGCATCGTAGGACACTGACTGCACACGGAGATCTTTGTATGACATGAATTTCTCGCATGAATGATTTTCTCATTGGATCCTAGTTTATTGTAAGTAGAAACTTTGATTGATAAGGAGAACATGTTATGAACTGTATGCCTGATTGATCGGGATTAATACCATTATCTGAGCTTAGATGCTTCCTCCATATGATTTACAATACGATTTATCTCTTGGTGGAAACTCTGCAAGATGATTTACGGGCGGCCATCTGCTGTCTTTCTCTCACCAGGGGGCGCATTGTGGATGAGACTCGTGAATGATACCTTCAGAGTTACTTTGACCTCAAAACGACAAATACGTGTATAACAAGAAAAGAATAGATGAAGAGGAATGGCTAAAAAAAAAATTCCTGATGAAATGCTTTAGTGTAGTGCTGTTTGTCGAGAAGATGTGTGATTTGTATACTCGGCTACTTCTTGGTTAGACAGGGTTGTAAAATATTGTGACAAATGTAATCATCATGAGTCTTGCAAATATTCACCCCCCCCCCCCCCCCCTCCCTCAACACCACCACCCCCATCCCCTTAGCCTTGGGCTCTACTTGGGCCAGTGACAATGGATTCATGGGCCTGCATGAATGACCCTCAATGTCGACTATTGAAAAGAGGCGCCAGCATCGAGCCTGTCCTGCCCTGTCAAAAGCTGACGACAATACCGGGAAAACACCAATAGAGGCGATCCAACAACAGGCTCCTCGTTCCTCCTAGCTTGTTTGTGGACTCTGTTATTTCTGAATTTATACTGTGGCTAACCCCAGCAGACCTTAGTCCTTTCAGCTCGGTGGTTGACTGCCATTCGACTACTTCAACTGTGTAATTTTTCTGGGGGGCACTGTATGAAAACAGTATTCATCCCAAAATTGATTAAAATGTGGAAGCTTCAGTGTAAGCTATTTTACTTACGATAAAGTAAGGGAATCTTGAATTATCCTAGAAAGCTGTATTGAATGTGCCTACTTTTTTGTAAAAAGTCTTGCAAGAATGGGTCAAAATGATCTCATGACGTCCTTGATTAAAAATAATCTTGAAGTTAGTTCCTAGGTTCTGAATGGAAGTGTAAGTCTTTTTAATTGGATTTTTAATTGTTTAATTATCACAAGTATACTCTTGTGTAATGGTTTCAGTTAATTGCAGAACCGTTTTCTAGTGGCTAGGCTTCTCCATGTTTTCAATGCAGAATTAGCCGACGCAAACACAGGCATATTTATCTAGTATCTGCATGTGAGAGTTGCATTTTGCCACAAGCCCACATAGAGTTTGAGTCAATACTAGCTGTTGGTTTAGATGGATTTGGGCTGAGGAGGGTGAGAAAAGTTGTCTCTGTGCTTCATTCCGACACTATGCAACAACCAACCAAATTTTGTTTTGCATACCGCTTCCGTTGTTGTGTGCTCCGTTGTGTGCTCCGATGTTTTGTTTTGATTCGACTGTGATTCGGAGAAACGGCTACACAATGAATAATGCAGATTTTGCCCTTTATTGTTTGTTTGTGTTTCCCTACAGATTCGTTTCTCAATCAGAATTTGTTATCTCAATCTGGAATTTGGAACAAAATTCAGTTTTAACAGTTGTGGGTATAATACAAAATGCGATCCTCAAAAACATATTCAAGACATTCAAACAAACTAAAAGTCATTTATTTCCTGCAAAGGAAGGGGCGTTCGCTCGTCACGCCGAAGACCCGGGTTCGATTCCCGACATGGGTACAATGTGTGAAGCCCTTTTCTGGTGTCCCCCGCCGTGATATTGCTGGAATATTGCTAAAAGCGGTATAAAACCATACTCACTCACTCACTCACTCACTCCTGCAAAGGAAAAATAAGGAAATGTGAAATTTGGATGAGCGTTGCACTGGTGATCTAGCCATCTTGTAAGCTGTAGTTCCAGAGAGCAGATTTAGGTTGGCACTTGGTTATCTCCCTGCATGACTACCTCTCCCCGGCATCAATTGATAAGTGGTCCAATACCATATGATCAAATATTTAACAGGCAAGATGTGAGGTTATTTTGTTAGATGGGATGGATGTCAAGAGATTTGCCAGAGATGCTGCAGGTGTAGTACGGCTCGTGGGAGTTTATGAATACATGATTTCAAACATGGCAAGAGTTATCTCAGCCTTTCGGGTCATTGCCACCCATGGACTACTCCTGCATGTTGTGGTGTGTAATTTTCAGATGTAGGCCCTCCATGAGACCCTCCATGAGACCGCTATCTGTTCGTATCTACAGATCTGTGTGGAAATTGTGGTTGGCATGGTTTTAGGGGGTACATTGAGTTGGGTGCAGCTGTTAGAGGGGTGGCAGATGTGTACCTGGCAGATACACCAAAACAAGCAGACGGGAACGGTGGCCATGTTGTTTTTAGACTGTGATGATCCTTGTGGAAAGCAGAGCCGACTAATTACGGAATGAGAGTGTGATCATTTCGCTCCGAAGGAAGTTGATTTGGCAACTTTGCTGCTTGAATTTTACCAAATGATAAAAAAGTGATCTGTCTGAGGAATCGGATAGGGGAACAGTTCCAAACTGCAGTGCTGTTTATTTGTGTTGGTCGCCAACTGGCACTTTCAAAGGTAGTGGAGCATGTGGCAGCTATCAAGCAGTGTGTAGCAGGGCCGACTGGAATGTGGATTCACAACAACTGGTGGCAGCAGGGCTGGACCTGGGCTCGACCTGGCTGTAGTATACACCAGGCGTGGGATATAGGGATATAGGGACGAGCAGGGACACCATTGGCGCTGGTATATTCCCAACCAGTTGATGTGCTTGTTGGCCTGGATTTGGAGGAGACTGGGAAAGAAGGGGTTTATTGGTATGGATCTGGTTCAGACAGAGTGGATCTTAGTTCTGTTTTAGTGTTTCGGAAGTGGTCTGGATGACAATTAGAGAAGGGATTTATCTAAAAATGTAAAATAAATAGGGGAATTTACTGCAGACATTTCATGTAGTGAGATTCGAAGTAGGTTTGGTGAGTGTTTGTTGTAGGAAGGTTTTGGAAGTACTTGTATGAGGCGGTTGAAGCAGAGAAGGTGGCTTGGATCAGTGGTTGTCATATGTCCCTCACCGACGGTTGTACGAGTAGCCATTTTGAATCATATTTGGGCCTTGCATGGAATAAAGCTTCATTGTATCGTTGTAATGAATATGTTTATGAGAACGTATTTCAAGTGTTTCATTCAACATTGTGGAAAGAAGTGTATTCAGTTATTAATCTTTATTCAAGACCTTGACTTACCTCAGTGTTGCTCCCAGTTTGATAGTAATTATGTACTTGAGGCGGTTAAGTGAATGTTATTTAAAGTTGATCTCTGTTAAGTCTGAAGCACCTACTAGCTCAGCCAATGTACTCCTATGTAAAGTTCAAGTCATGAAAAGGAAAGCCTCTTGAGATGGTTCATAAATGACATCAAATAATGGCCACGAATGTCATGAATTCTCAAGAGGCACGACATCATAGAAGAAACCAGTGTCTTGTCAGCAGCGAGCTTGACGGTCGCAACTTATTCACTTGCGGCCAACACAAGACAACCAATAGGGAAAATGAGGTTCTCTTATTGAAGGGTCTTATTGTGCTGAGACCAAATTCATGGTTGTGTTTTATGTTAAGGGTCACCTGGGATGCGACATGGGATAGACATTATTGTCACTGTTTTCATTGTAGGATGGTAGCCAGGAAAGTAGTGCTTAGTCCTGAACAGGAATCCATGTTTCCACTTGGTACGAGGGTGTTGTATGTTGGGGTGTTGTATGTTGGAGTGTTGTATGTCAGGGTGTTGTATGTCAGGGTGTTGTATGTCAGGGTGTTGTATGTCGGGGTGTGAGAGTCCTGTATGTTGGAGTGTTGTATGTCAGGGTGTTGTATGTCAGGGTGTTGTATGTTGGAGTGTTGTATGTTGGAGTGTTGTATGTCAGGGTGTTGTATGTCAGGGTGTTGTATGTTGGGGTGTTGTGTGTGAGGGTGTTGTATGTTGGGGTGTTGTATGTCGGGGTGTTGTATGTCAGGGTGTTGTATGTTGGGGTGTTGTATGTCAGGGTGTTGTATGTTGGGGTGTTGTATGTCGGGGTGTTGTATGTCAGGGTGTTGTATGTTGGGGTGTTGTGTGTGAGGGTGTTGTATGTTGGGGTGTTGTGTGTGAGGGTGTTGTATGTTGGAGTGTTGTATGTGAGGGTGTTGTATGTTGGGGTGTTGTATGTTGGGGTGTTGTATGTCGGGGTGTTGTATGTCGGGGTGTTGTATGTCGGGGTGTTGTATGTTGGGGTGTTGTATGTCAGGGTGTTGTATGTTGGGGTGTTGTATGTCAGGGTCTTGTATGTTGGGGTGTTGTATGTCAGGGTGTTCTATGTTGGGGTGTTGTATGTTGGGGTGTTGTATGTCGGGGTGTTGTATGTGAGGGTGTTGTATGTGAGGGTGTTGTATGTTGGGGTGTTGTATGTTGGGGTGTTGTATGTGAGGGTGTTGTATGTTGGTATCTTGTATGTGAGGGTCTTGTATGTCGGGATGTCAGGGTGTTGTATGTCAGGGTGTTGTATGTTGGTATCTTGTATGTGAGGGTGTTGTATGTTGGGGTGTTGTATGTGAGGGTCTTGTATGTTGGGGTCTTGTATGTGAGGGTGTTGTATGTGAGGGTCTTGTATGTGAGGGTGTTGTATGTTGGGGTCTTGTATGTGAGGGTGTTGTATGTCGGGGTGTGAGGGTGTTGTATGTTGGGGTCTTGTAGGTGAGGGTGTTGTATGTTGGGGTGTTGTATGTCGGGGTGTGAGGGTCTTGTATGTTGGGGTCTTGTATGTGAGGGTCTTGTATGTTGGGGTCTTGTATGTTGGGGTCTTGTATGTTGGGGTGTTGTATGTGAGGGTCTTGTATGTTGGGGTGTTGTATGTGAGGGTCTTTTATGTTGGGGTCTTGTATGCTGGGGTGTGAGGGTGTTGTATGTTGGGGTGTTGTATGTCCGGGTGTGAGGGTCTTGTATGTGAGGGTCCTGTATGTTGGGGTGTTGTATGTTGGGGTGTGAGGGTCCTGTATGTCGGGGTGTTGTGTAGGAGGTTTTGACTCATCCTAGGTTTCTATAGAACATACAGAGCTGGCTACTTCCGTGGCCCGTTTCACTTGAGTCAGCACCAGGAATGTGTTTGATATTCTTTCACTTGGGGTCAAGTGAGTAATGCTTGAATACTGTTTCAGCTATTCATCAGGGTAACAACTATCTTGTTATTTGGAAATTAGAATCTTTCAGTGCTTTGGCCTGGCAACTGGTGTGTGTAAATTCATGAATGTTACATACAAATTCGAATAATAACGCTCCCAAGGGGCGTGGACCCTGCCTGAATCGACTTGAAACAGTAATCATAGCTTTTGTCAGCCTTTCAGAGATACGCTGTGTATTTGCAGTTCATAATACACTGTTTCCAGGCTTGTAGAAATGAGTATTGATTAGGTACTTCAGCTTGTCCCCACCATTCTTGAAATGAGGAAAGGGTGACGACTAAACAGATGTTTTGTGCAATGATTAGCATTTAAACATATTCCCCTAAAGACAACTTCAATCGTTTTTGAAATTAGTCTTCATTATGTTTACCTCTTTTTTCAGGGATATGACCCACAATCGTCTGAGTTCAATTGCCTCCCGAACTTTTGCTCAACTGGAGTCGCTGCAGGAGCTGTTTCTGAACTTCAACCTGATTTCTCGGATAGATGATGGCTCCTTCAAAGATTTATCTTCTCTCACTACATTGTAAGTATATCTCTTACATTTGTAAAACGTAAAACTACTCTTTAGTTGTTAGGAAAACAACATTATTTTGAAGGTTTTAAAGTGAATCCCTATTTACTTAAATAGTTAAAGTCTGATAAATATTTGTTTTGGAAAAAAAATATATGGCTGGTTTAATGTAATAAGCACAAGGAAATTATGGTTTAGCGGAAACCTTTGGATTGACGTTTTTGTTGTTGTCACTCAACCTGTACAAATGTTTACCCTTGTTTCAACTTGCCCTTAATGAACTTTACAATGAAGGCTCAAAGGTCATCGTCACTTCGATTTTAATCCATATTTTATTATTTGTTTGCTTTGTAAAAATACTTTGTTAAAACATTCAAAAAAAATTTTTTGTTCATGCATAGGAATTATTTTGGTTTAATGGCTGGTGATTTTGATCTTTTGGAGTTTTCCTGTGCCCTCATTAGGATTCGGTGAGAGGTCCCTCTCAAACAAAGCAGTTGACAGCTCATCCTCACAGCTGCTGAAGTATGGCACAACCGCGTAATAAATAAATGTTTGATAGCGGGATAAATAAATATTCCTGCGACTGGCACTAGGAAATTTATTACTTGTTCGAGAAAAGTTTCTCAGCAGTGAGACTGTGAGAGGGAAAATTTCGCGTAAAAAGTTCCGAAATCTTGTGGATTGCGACTGTGTGTTTTTCTAGGGCTAGGTGTGCTGTCTGTTCAGTACGTCGGCTTATCACGCGGGTGAGACCAGGTCAGGCAGTGAGACCCACCTGCACAGGGTCACACGCTCACAGCGGCTTGACCCTCGGCCCGCCGAGGCGAGAGAAAAGTGAGAAAATTGTGGGCTCCTTACAGAGACCTCCTTTGTGTCGTGCCTACGATCACTCATAGACATCTCCTCGTGCACACTAGGACAATATTTGAGCACTAGTGTCAACATGGAGTTTTTTGAGGAGGATAGTTGTGGCATTTGCCCCTAATTGGGACCATTCTTCGTGTAAACATCTTCCTTTCAAATAAGAAAGGAGAAGTTTTCAAGAAGTAGGTTTTGGTTTTACGTAGACCTTTCCGTGGCCTATATTAGACTGAAGTGTATTCGTTTTGTTTGCAGGGAGTTGAATAACAATGAGATTGCTGATGCCATTGAAGATTCAAATTCAGCATTTGAGGGTTTACGGAAGCTGGTCAAGCTGAGTCTGGCAACCAATAAGATCCTGTCTATAACCCGTGGAGCCTTCGACGGCCTGGACAAGTTGAGGCACTTGTATATGGAAGACAACGCCATCACGTCCATCGAGGAGAATCCATTTGTTGGTCTCAACATGCGTGACCTGTAAGTATACTTTTTACATGAATATTTTTGGTTATCATAAGTTTGAAGAATATGAGATTGGTAGACATGTAAGTTACATGTACTTATATACTGACCACCTAAAGAAACATAGAGAAGTATGTACGTTAAGAAGAGATGTTTCCAATGTGTACCACTTAATGACCAAACTAACAGTCAGTCAAGTGTTGTCACATTGTCTTTATCTTATCACGATAGGCTGCGTGTGATTTCCAAACTTTACACGCTAGTCTTGCTCGAGTCATTGGTCTATGACGTCACACGTGATGCGTTCATGAGCGTCGATTCGCACAACATACCAGTATTTCCTTTTCGAATGATATATCTCATATTCAAGAGTAATTCTTCTTATATTAACCAACACGTATGGTATTTGCGTTTCTTTTGTCAGTGAGTATATATACCAGTGAAATACACCTCCACCCACTTCCTGCAATATAAACTTTTTCCGATTTTTGAAAACTGCACATTTAGTTGACTCAGAAACATTCTCATACCTTCCCACCCCATCCACTCCTGGCCCTCCCATGCAACACCCAGGCCCAACCACTCTCTCTTGCCCCGATCCTGACAAAACAACCTACTGGCCTAACACCTCTCCCTCCTACACCCTGACAAAACGACCAATCACCCTGACACCTCTCTTTCCTACACCCTGACAAAACAACCAATCACCCTGACACCTCTCTTTCCTACACCCTGACAAAACGACCAATCACCCTGATACCTCTCTTTCCTACACCCTGACAAAACGACCAACCACCCTGACACCTCTCTTTCCTACACCCTGACAAAACAACCAACCACCCTAACACCTCTCCCTCCCACACCCTGACAAAACAACCAACCACCCGAACCCCTCTCCCTCCCACACCCTGACAAAACAACCAACCACCCAAACACCTCACCCTCCCACACCCTGACAAAACAACCAACCACCCTAACACCTCTCCCTCCCACACCCTGACAAAACAACCAACCACCCGAACCCCTCTCCCTCCCACACCCTGACAAAACAACCAACCACCCTAACCCCTCTCCCTCCCACACCCTGACAAAACAACCAACCACCCTAACACCTCCCCCTCCCACACCCTGACAAAACAACCAACCACACCCTGACAAAACAACCAACCACCCTAACACCTCTCCCTCCCACACCCTGACAAAACAACCAACCACCCTAACCCCTCTCCCTCCCACACCCTGACAAAACAACCAACCACCCTAACACCTTCACCTGTTGGGCGGTGGGGTAGCCTAGTGGTTAAAGCATTTGCTCCGAAGGGTTCAATTCCCCACATGGGTACAAAATGTGTGATTCACATTTCTGGTGTCCCAGAAATATTGTTAACGGCATCCTAAAACCATACTCTCTCACTACAATGCACCTGTAATCATGAACCTATTAAAAATATATTGTCCTTTGTCCTTTAAGAATGTAGACAATATTTCTAATTCTTTTCCTTTTTCTTCCTCAGACATTTCAACACCAGCAACTTACTGTGCGACTGTCAGATCGCCTGGCTGCCAGGATGGCTGCGTCAGGCTAGTTTTGAATCCAGCGTCCATGCAGTGTGCAGTCACCCCATCTCCCTCAAAGGACGCAGCATCTTTGATGTACAGTTTGAAGATTTCAAATGCAGTAAGTTTTACCAGAACCTTTGATAGTAAGATAATTAGAAATGACAAATTTACATGATATTTCCCGTATATTGACTGGAATTATATATAATGTTATTATTAGAATCACATGAATGAATTCTTGTTTTTCAGTCAATTTGTCCAAACCTTTGATTCTGGAAGATCCGAAATCTCAGATAGCGCTGAAGGGAGACAATGTGACACTCAGCTGCATCGCGAAGGTGCCAGGGGAAGGAACACCAAAGTTCCAGTGGAAGAAGGATAACATCGTACGTAGAGACAGGAAATTCTTTTAAAAGTTGGATGTCCTGAAGCAGAATTAATATGCAGAATGATTTCACTGTCGTAGGCATATTTCAGACACAATTTTGTATCTTTTAATGAGACTTAAGTCATGCATCAATGTAGCAAACATTTTTGACGATTCAAAGATTTGCTGTCTGAATTTAGGATACATTATAGAAGATGGAATATACAGTAGATGATGTTGTATTACAGCTCCTGACCAGTGCCGATGTTGTGACTGAAGCTGTCAATGACGGTGATGCGATGAGCTACACATCACGCCTGCATATGCGTAATGTGCAGGACGACATGAACGGCCTCTACCAGTGCATCATCACAAACAGCTTTGGATCATCTTACTCAAAGAAGGCCGAGATCAATGTGCATGGTAAGAGTTATGTCCCCTGGATTTGGGTTTCTCCTTGCTCATAGCTGATAAGAATATTCAAAAAATAAATTTGTTTCAAATGAGGCGTCTAATTTCCTAAATATTTAACAAGCATCATGATTGATTCATGAGAAGGTGCGTTATTTATGAAGAAACAAATTTACAACGTATTGTAAAATGGTGTTGCAGTGTTCCCAGTGTTCACGAAGATCCCAGTCGATGTGACGGTGAAGGTGGGGACCACAGCCAAGTTGGAGTGTTCCGCCACCGGGCAGCCTCAGCCCACCATTGCCTGGCAGAAGGACGGAGGAATCAACTTCCCAGCAGCCCGTGACCGCCGCATGCACGTCATGCCGTCGGACGACACGTTCTTCATCACCAACACACGGACGGAGGACGAGGGCATCTACAGTTGCACCGCCACCAATGATGCAGGGACGATCATCATCAATGCAACACTGACTGTGCTTGGTAAGGCCTGGCTTGACTGTAACACATGTTTTGTGGTTTGGCTTACAAAAAAAAAAATTGATTCTCAGGCAATGACTTGAAAATATAGTGCAGGTGGGCGGTGGTTTTTAGTTTTTTACTTGTTCAAACTGGTATGTAACCAGATAAATTGTTGTGTACCATCAACATGGGAAGATTCCTACATAAACAAGCATACAAACTCCTATTGCCGCCATGACTATAACACGAGATGCGCAGTAAAGCAGTGCGCATATAAAGGGAAGTAACAGGCATGCTATATTGGATCGCATTGTTTTTAAGTAGTAGGATTTTTTTTAAATTTTAATGGAATTAAAAACAAAGTTCAACAGACTTTATGATGATGCAGGCAGTGCCTGAGAATCAAGACTTTTTTTTTTGGTTACAATATACCGTATTCGAAGTAATAAGCGCCAAGGGCGCTCTAAAAATTAGAAATAGGGGGCTCTTATTAGAATATTATTTTGGTGGGAAAAAGAGAGTTGAAAGATAAATTTCGTGGTTTATGCCGACACATGTTTATATGCGACAGATACATTTTTCCAGAATTTAATTGCCCATAATTAAGAATGCATATAACACACAACTGCGTATTTTACGCGAATAAATAAGTCTTGTGTACATTGATCAATAGGAAGGAGTGCTAATTGGGATTGTTCACTAGCCAATATATTAGCAAATATCACTGTGGGCGCTTATTAGAGCGGGGCGCTTAATACGTCGAATACGGTACTACTCAACATTTGCTAAGGGCCAAAATAGTCATGTCTTGTCCAAGGTGTGGTCCTTAGCAAATGTTGAATTGTATCATGTTCTTATTGATAAAAGATTTCAGATTATGAGGGATTAGAATTTTGTTGAAAAATTCGGAAATAATTCTGAAAGATATGCTTGTACCTCCATAAGAAGTGATAGCCAAAACCTACTCCCTGAAGATAAAATAATTTGATCAGTGTAGTGTTGATTCATGAAAAGGTACAGTAGCTCACTTTATTTGTCTTTTGTGTTTCAGAAACTCCTTCCTTCAGTCAGCCTATGGATGAGGAGAAGGTATTTCATGAGAGGGACACAGTGGTTTTAGAGTGTCGCGCTTCGGGCAAACCTAAACCCAAGCTAAAATGGTTGAAGGATGACAAGGAGCTTGTGTTCACCGATCGGCACTTCACCACAGCAGACGACCAGCTGCTGATCATCGTGGACACCAAGCCCTCGGACAAGGGAACCTACACCTGCAAGATGTCCAACACGCTCGGAGAACAGAAGGGCAAAACCATGCTGAAACTGCGGGCCAGCGATGGGAGCTTCGGGGGCCACCCTTCAGCTGGGTTTGGTCTGGATGATGAGTCAACTACAACGGGAATCATCATCATCGCCGTGGTGTGCTGCGTTGTGGGAACATCTCTTGTGTGGGTCATCATCATCTACCAGACGCGGAAGAGGCACGAGCTGTACAGCTCAACTCCAACAGGTAGGACAGAACTTAGCTACAGTTGACCTGAACAAAGCTGGTTCTTATGTGTAAGAGTCCTGGGCCCATTTGCACAAAGCGACCTTAGCGCTAAGTCTGTTGTAAGCCTATGCTGAAGAATGGGAGTTACGATCATCTTAGCGCTAAGATCGCTTTGTGCAAGTGGGCCCTGGAGTAAAATGGGGGCGACGGGGTAGCCAAGTGGTTAAAGCGTTCACTCGTCACGCCGAAGGCCTGTGTTCGATTCCCCACATGGGTACAATTTGTGAAGCCTATTTCTGGTGTCCCCCACCGTAATATTGCAGGAATGTTGCTAAAAGCGGTGTAAAACCAATCAATCACTCACACTCTCCTTGAGTAAAAAGCTTGACAAGTCACTCTTTGCAATATTTCATCAAGGTGTAATTCAGATGCAATATTGATAACTGTGGTGTTCAATGATTATATTACAGCTCTCATTCATACTTTTCTTCTGTCATAAATTACTTTCTAAATATGTTGTGCCTTTTTTTCTGTACTTACTATTCAACCACAATAATTTATGTAGGGCATCTTTGTATTCAAGATGAGACAACTCTGCCTTGTGAAGTCCCGAGTTCTGGCTACACCTCTTCAGACAAGGAGGGCAGTTTCAGCCAACCACCGATCACTGTACTGAACTACCAGTACCCGGATTACCAGATGAAGGAGTCCGGGTACGAGTCCTCGTCTGGGAGATTCCGGCCCAATGGCTGGACCCGTCCTGCCGCCATCTTCCCCAGCGATGTGGATGAGGATGACCAGCCTCAGTCTGTCCAGTACAGCCTCGCTGACCAGCATCAGGGACGGCATTCGGGAGGTGAGACTCGTGATTGTCATACTGACTTGTTCAGTACTAAATATTATCAGAGAGTATGATTCTTGCAAATATCAGGGGTGGTCGGGTAGCCTAGTGGTTAAAGCATTAGCTCATCACGCTGAACACCCAAGTTCGATTCTCAACATGGGTACAATGTGTGAAGCCAATTTCTGGTTTTCCCCCGCCGTGATATTGCTGGAATATTGCTAAAAGCGGCGTAAAACCATACTAACTCACTCACCTGCAAATATCGTACCTGTTACATCATAGACGTAGATACTGTACTTTGGCTGTCATCACACTTTATAAATCTTTAGATTGTCAACTATCCATAGTCAGTTGTGCAGACAATAGCATCCTGCTGCCCAATGCTCTTGCCAATATTGGGAAGAAACAAATAAAGGGCATTTTAAGTAACATTTTGAAGAGTTATCAGATCCTTTAAGTGATTCACAAGTTTATAGTTTGAAAGGTGCCTTCAATATTTGCCTAAGACCAAACATCAACTAAGCACACCTTGTATTTGTTTTGTTTGTTTGCACTCAGCAATATTCCAGCCGTATGACGGCGGTCTGTAAATAGTCAAGTCTGGATCAGACAATCCAGTGATTGATATCATAAGCATGGGTTGCTGAAGACATAATCTACCCTGGATCTTCACACCTTGTAGGGTAATTTTCATGCTAACATGAGGATGGTGTTGAAGAAATAGAAATGTTTGGCCGTTAACATTCACAATGGTTCTTGTTTCGCCGTTAACATTCACAATGGTTCTTGTTTCAGGCAACAGCATGTCCAGCTTGCACTACCCGCACAGTGAAACAGACACTATTGCTAGCTCGCACAGCACGAGCAGCACCCACACAAGCGGGCATCACACGTTACGAACATTTCACCCGCAGCTGACCAATCATGATCGGTGTCAACATCACGGAAGTTGTGACAATTGTGAAAGTTGTGAATGCTGTGAGAATTCTCGGACTGTGGGAGTGAATTCACATGTAATATCCATGCACAAATCTCACAGTATTTCCTCAATACCAAGTTCAAGGTCATCAGGAAGTGTAGGTCGGCCTGATGGTGTGGTGTCGCCACATGTTGCTCACTCAAAGTGCTCTTCTGTAGGAACCCCTTTGGCAAAACACTCAGGTGAGAACACATTTTATAGTTAGGGGTCTGGGGGGAGGGGAGGGGGCGTGGCATGGCACGGCACGGCACGGCAGAGGTAGAGAGAGGGAATGGACAAAGGCTCTTTTTGGCCTTCAATCTGATGGTATTCAAATATCTCATGAAAGAATTTTATAATAATTTAATATATTTTATTTGAAGGGACTGAATGTAACAAATTCCTAAATGTTTTCATCAAAATAGTGTATGTATGGAATTGGCAATTTCAGCTTCATTTCATATTATGAAACCACTTATGAAAATGTGTTTACGTTTATAAGAACAAGTATGAAATATCACTCTTTCTAATATTGAGTGACATGTTTAGGTAAGATGATTTTTCTAAATGTTGCTTTTGTTTTTTTCAGACTCGGGCGTGTGTGAGTGTGCCAATGGTGGGATAGCAGGCCGGGGGCCGACCCCTCCCCAGCCAGTCCACATTACATGTAACCCACTGGACAGGTTACCCAACTCTATAGGTCAGTATACAGGAATCTGGGGGAAAGGATTTGGCAAAAATATTCATTAAGAAAATGAATTCATTAAATCCATACATGATGCAGTAATTACAAGAAGTCACACAGTTCAGTAAAATGATTGGTCATATCCATACCATGTTACTGTTTATTATACCCAGACCAAGGAATACCAAGGAATTCCGTTCTTCCTTCTAGAACATATTTCTGTGTGACCTATAACTTGGAAACTACTACATAGGTTCTTTTCAAATTTAGGGAATAGTTTCCATGCCAATAGAAGAGGTGCTGTGCAAAGTTTGATTTCGATAAGTGGATTTTCTGAGAAAAATATTGGTTTTTCATGTTTTGAATTTAGGAATATGTTGAGTCAAAGTCGGGAGGCCTGCCTGTTTTATATGGCCAATTCTTCGTAAATGGTTGCCACAAGTTGTTGACAATTTGAATTTTCTTTTTCAGACTCTACACGAAGTGAGAAATCACACAAGGTGCCCAACGGAGCATGCCCACGCGTATCAGCAAAGTCCCAGCATGCAACTGTAAATACTCAAGTCTGTCACCCGTCAGCCAATCATGTGCCAGCCAAACCACGTGACTGTTACGACAGCCCGCACTCTGTCATTCCAGGGCCTCATTTGCATACGAACTCTGTCAACCGAACGAGACAAAACTCCCAGGTGGACGTATAGCACAACGGGTTGTGGAGCAACATAATACAGCAACTGTGATTGGCTCAAATCCTGTGAAGCAGAAATGCTCCACCAGCAGCGCAATGTGTCCTCAAAACTTCAGTGCTATTTAATGAGGATGCTGGACGTTAAGCGACAAGTTCGCTGAAGTACAACGGTGAAGTTGTGGACGAATGGTGACTGTGTCGCCACAATGCAACTCTGAAGACGGGTATTTTTTGTGTCTGAGAAAGAGGCTCAAAAGCAGTTGGAGTGTACTTAAGGAGGGAAACATTAGCAATCGAACAAGAAGCCTCCACCATGTGACCCAATATACCTCAATTCTACTGGCTACGACCCTGTTTGGGAGGCGGAGGTTTCTGGGAATCATACGAAGTATTAGCTGTGTACAGACGCAATAGTAGAGTGAGAGCATGAGACGAACTTTGTACATATTTGTGACACAAGTGGAGTGAGTGAGTGAGAATGGCAATGCGAGATGGGGATGTGGCTAAGAATGCTCACTGACTTAAGTTTGAAGAAAAATAAAGTTAAATTCAAGGACATTTTTCTCAGTTACTTTTCAAGTATAATTTGCGTGTTTTTATAAACAGTAATTTAAGCTGTTGTGAAATGTAGCCACATCGCCCAGGGTCAGCCCAGATTGGCTACAGCATTAACCCTAGAGCTGGTATGCTCATTTCTACCTCCAGACTTGCATCTTGTGTTTCCTCCATTAGCTGCAGCTAAATGCTCCTCTAGGTTAGATGCATAATACTGTGAACAACACATGGTGACATTATGTCCAATTCACCCTTACACTGACCATTCCCTACTCATGTGTACCTGAGTTGTGAACGGTCTTTGAAAGGGTTAATAAGGTTCTCCGCTGAAAACTGTCCCGAGCACCTCTCTAACAGCCGGTTATTTTCGATCCTGGGACCCAATCCACAAATGTTTCCTAGCACGACAGCATTTCCTCTTAAGCTATAGAGTTACCATAGTCTTAGAGCTATGAAGGATTTGTTGATTGGGACTTTGTAAATTTGTATTTAGTTCAGTAAAATAAAATACCAATTATCTTAAGCAACTTAAAAACGTGGTCAATGCGGTAGGGAACACCGACGAAAGACGCATGACACAAGCATCACTTGATTGTTTGGGTCATGCCTATTATTATAACTTGACCTACTGAATAGACGAGTGTTCATACAGTATTTTCAGTGGCAGAATTTGGACGTAGTTGTCACCTCTATTTTTAGATGCCAATGGTACGTTTGTTTGATGCATATAAGTGCTGCGTGAACTGAGGCCAACTTGTTTTAAAATGGCATAACTCCTTGACAGGATTGAAAGGGTCTCAGGGTTATTTTTCATGATACTTCCATGTTTTAGCATTAAGGAAAGGAAGGTATATAAATGCTTGAGTTTCATTACTGCTTAGAATAATTTCCTGTACGAAGGGGTAAATATTATTTGAATTATTACTGTTCAATGCATAATTACCGATCTGCGAAATCCACCCCTCTTGAAATCCTTTCTTCCAAGGTGTGCAATGGCTTTGTGGGCAGTTTTGATTGATATATATTTAACATGGTTTATACCTCAGACTGAATGGCAAAATAAATCCAGAATTATTGCATTTCTTGTGGAGAAAAAGCTCCCATTGTCAAATAATCTACTTAATTATTGAATACTTAAGCACCACCAAAGGAACAATTTTCCATGTGGTTTTTCTGGACAAGATATGGTAATAATTCTGGTAATATGAGTTGTGAAGACCTTGGTATCAGGGAGATCTGATACTGGTTCGGGGCCCATATGATATGCTTGTTATTGCCCATGCGAGGCCCTCCTATGACTGACATGAATTATTATGCTGATTGGCTCGTTGTAATGTGATTTGAATTTTATGTGACAAACATGCATGTTGTCATAAAAGTATCACCAGTACAGTTTGATTGTTTTATTGTTTAAAACAGTTTTATGAACGATATTTAAATGATTTTTCTTCTTTTAAAACAAGTTCTTATGACTTCTGAATTTGATATTTTCCTCAAAATTTCAATCTTGAAGCATTTTGTCGTGTGGGCAATGCATGATATGGCTGAATGGGATGAGTGGTAGAATGTGTGTGTGTTCGTTCATGGAGGGTCTTGGCACAAGGGCGCATGTTTGTATATATTTTGTTGACTACACATCTTTGTACAACATCGACTCAAGAATGTAGAACTAATTTATTGTACAAACCACTACAAGTTTGAGTGAGACTTTCAGCAATCAGTACTGTTATTTGTACAGTATATTTGACAAAAAATAAAAAGAACAAATAAAAAAACAAACAAAATAAATCAGTTCCTTTGTTTTCATTCTTAGCGTGCATGCTGAGTGGGGTAGCCTCGTGGTTAAAGTGTTGGCTTGTTATGCCTCAGACCAGGTTCGGTTTCCACATGGGTACATTTCTGGTGTCCTCAATTGGAATATTGCTAAAAGCAGCATCAAGCCATACTCACTCATGGTGGTGACTGGAAACAAAATGGTTTTTGTTTAACGCCGCACTCCGCAATGTTCCAGCTATATGAAGGCGGTCTGTAAATAATAGAGTCTGGACCAGACAATCCAGAGATTAATATCATGAGCATCGATCCACGCAATTGGGATCGATGACATGCATCAACCAAGTCAGCGAGCCTGACCACACGATCCCGTTAGTCGCCTTTTACGACAAGCATAGTCCCCTTTTACGGCAAGCATGGGTTGCTGAAGACCTCTTCTTCCCCGGAATCTTCACGGGTTGGAAACAAAATGGAGAAATGGCCTGTGAAATCATTGAGTCCAGACACACCAGTGTTGACAGTCCGAGTAGCGACCTGTGAAGATCCGGGGTAGAATAGGTCTTCAGCAACTATGCTTGTCATAAAAGGCGACTAACGGGATCAGGTGGTCAGGCTCGCTGACTTGGTTGATGCATGTCACCCTATCCCAATTGCGTGGATTGTCTGGTCCAGACTTGATTATTTACAGAATATAGCTGAGTGGGGTGTTAAATAATATACAAACACAAGCATGAGTAGCAGTCAGTAAGATGTTGCCATACACAGGTGGACAGCATTGGTCATTCTGGACTAGTAGCTACTGAACATGACAAGATTTGGGGAGAAAACAACTAGCCCCTAATTCTTCCTTGTCTCAGACTAATGGAATCGGGTGGTCAGACTCGCTGACTTGGTTGATGCATGTTATCATTTACCAATATGGTGGATCGATGCTCATGACATCAATTGCTTGATTGTCTGGTCCAGACTTGATCATTTACAGACCCCCGTCATATATCTGGAATATTGCTGAGAGCGGCGTTTAACAGCAAACCAACCAACTTTTGCGGACTAGTGGCTCTGTTGATACCTTCATAGACATGTCTGCATAAACTTGACAAATCTACACGATTTCACTAGATATTTCCTATTCACGGACTGTTGAAGTTAATGGGCGATCTACCTGAAAGATTTCTGATCACAAATAGAAATGTCCATGAATTTGCGCGAGTTGTTTTCATACAAGCCAAACTTTTACCTGAAATGAATGTCGACGGTGGAACTAAAGTATATCTGAAGTAAACATTGACACATTCTCATCAAACTTGTTTCACCTGACCCAGTTATTCCATAAAAGGTCAAAAGGCACATGATGGTTTGGTGTCCACCGTGATGATGGTATAAGGATCTATAAACACCGTTATTACAGTATAATAAAGAAGTTGTTATCCCTCAACTTTTGTCTACTTTGACATCCGTCAACTTGTAAGGAATGCCTACAAAACAATTTGTTTATTGAAATGTGCAATACTGGTATAGTATTGTTTTAATGACCAGACTTCTATCAAATTAAACTGGTCTTGATTTAGGAAAAACAATTTATTGTCAATGTAGGGCTAGGTTACCTGTAGATTTTTCTACATTTCATCATGATAAATTTGAAAGTGAACTTGGTCGTGTTAAGGAAGATAATGAGGTTGATTTGAATTTCAGTTTTTGTTTGTTCGTTGTTTAAAGCCATACTCGGCAATATTTCAGCTATATGACAGCGGTCTGTAAATAATGAAGTCTGGACCAGACAATCCCATGATTGATATCATGAGCATCGATCCGCACAATTGGGATACTACTTTGAACAGCCTTTGAATTAAGAACAACAATAACGAGAGTTTGCCACTAACGTGGCTATATCCACCGCACCTGTTGCAGAATTTATGACATCATTAAATCTAAACAAACCCTAAACTTTATTAACAGAGGTGGAACTTGTCATGGAAATTGTAAAAAAAAGAAGAGTTTGGAACCTAAGTCCATCTTGTTGCCATGGAAATAAAAATTTCTAGAACTTCTAAATAGCAAAAGGCACCAGTTCAGCATGTACTTGACAGACCTGCAAAGTTTCATGAAAAAATATTGAACAGTTTCTGAGTTATGCTCCGGAAACGAAACGTGACGGATGGATGGACGGACGGAGCCTGTTTCTATATCCCCCGCCAACTTTGTTGGGCGGGGGATAATAATAGTCCACTATATGCAATGTACACTCGAAACGCATGAGAACAGACTCTGCTGAATCAGTGAAGGTGAGTTTGAAAAGGAGTCTTTAATCGGTGCTGAAGGATCTGGAAGGTTGGAGAAACTAAGTTTGAGTGGGAGACTGTTCCACTCTGTTGCAGCAGACTTGGCAATTCACACTAATTTGCTTGTCTGAGACTACTAAATTGTGCTGACAAGTGAAAACCCAATGATGGTAGTCTTCATTGACTAGTTATCACCGGTGTTAGAACCTACACCGAAACGTTGCTCTTAAATTGTAATAAAGAAGTTGTTCATCCATAAATTCTTATCCTTACTTTTCTAAGATGCCAAATTTAAGACTAACCTTGTTTGTTTTATTGGAGTCAAATCAAATCTGTAATGGCCTGTGACGTAAAATCCTCAAACAGCTAACTGTTGGCTCTTCCACCAAATTGCCTGCACACTTACATTAAGAGACATACTTACGTTTTAAACATAGTAGAACACCACTAAAATGGGTTGTTTATCATTAAGTGTCGATTCCCAAATTGAAACAAAATGTTAACCCAGAAATCTACAGAAATGTAGAACAACTTAAGTGTGAAACCAACAAAAAACCAACAAGTGGTACACAATCAACAAATGTATTACAAAAATGTCACCAGGTTTACAATTCAATACAAATTACTGCACAGCAATTACAATGACAGAACCCAATAGAGTGGTAGTACAATATTCAGTGGCAATATAAAACATGATGGCAGTGGTCACATCCAATACAAAAATACTGTGGTGACGGTAAAAGTCAGTGATAATGATATATTCACCCAGCGGAGACAGTGGTCAAGCTTCCGAGATGGGCGAGGCAGGGAATCTGGGATAATGAGCGATCCTCACATGAAAGCTGGTTCCAATGTGATGACAATGCTTGAGAGATGTAAACACGGTCTTGTCTCCTTATATACCATTTACCCAGCCACTGGAAAGTTCCACACCATGCCCTCACCAGTCCGGCACTAGAACACAAGAAGTTTCTATAAGATACTATCACAGTCCACGGTATACCGGACCGGACGATAACTCACCACACTAGCATCTAAATATAGTAACTTCCTGACAACAGATCACTGCCCAAACACAAAGCAGTGAGCGTCTACCGAATCTCTACAGATACAACGCAACACAGCTACAATCACTGTTAAACAATAAAATACACTGCCATGTAACAATTATTTAAATACTTCCTATTTTATTGTGCGGCTATCCATAAACACATGCTGCAATAAGTAGGATTTAAATTTTAAGTTTGTATATTAATTTGCTTCAATTTAATCAAGTGACTCACGGATATATACGTCTTTGAGTGACTCAATACATTCCACAAGTGCATTGTGGGTCAAACATGGCCAAAGTATGGTGTACTGGTTATATTGTGAGTGTGGGGGGCACGGGGTGCACAGTCGTCTAAGGCTGCGATTCGCTGTGCAGAGTTGCATCCCTTGGGCATGCCAGAAACCTATGATTGTGGGTTTGAATCCCAGTTCGTTCCAATTATGTTTCTAGGTTTGTCAGCACCATACCTGTGCTCCTGGGTTTCACCGAAGTGGTAAACGTCCGAGACCTGCATCACTTCGGGCTTTCCTCCCACATTAAGCTGACACGCCGTGATATAACTGGAATACTGTTATTATTTTATCAGAAAATTTGTGTTTTATGCTGACAGCCTGAAATGTTTATGTACGACGGATATAATTTTCCAGAATTTAATTGCCAATAATTAAGGGTGCATATATATAACACACGAATGAGTATTATACATGAATAAATAAGTCTACATTGATCATTTGGAAGGGGTACTATTTGGGATTGTTCACTAGCCAATATATTAGCAAATATCGCCGTGGGCACTTATAAGAGCGGGGCGCTTATTATGTCGAATACGGTAATCTGGCTCTCAAAAGAGGTTTTTTGTTCATTGCGTCCACGTAAATTTGACATATTTAATTAATAGGTAAAATAAATTTTATTAATCATTTAGCAGTGAGGTGTGTTTCCACACCTGTCTATTTCAGAACACCCATTTGTTTCATTAACTATAGTTAATCTGGCATGGCAGATTTACTGTAGTAACATGAAAGAATCAGGTGATCCTTAACTTTTTTTGAGTAGTATATTAAAAGATGGACGTCAGGGTCCATCTCTAAAATGTGTTGGTTACTTAAATCATAGAAGGATTGTATCTCCAACATACTCTGATCCTATGACAATTAATGTGGTACAACCTGCACACTGTGCATACAACTACTGTTAAAACTGTCTAGACCAAGGTATACATTTTTTTCCAAAATCCCTTAAGGACTCCCCCACTACTTGCCCAAAAGCATGCCGTCACCAAGCATTCTTCCAGTGGATGTGTTAGGTCAGAGGAAGCATTGTAACTTCAAAGAAGCATTAATGCAAGTCTTGCAGCATGACTGTCGAATTTATATTTTTAGGTATTTCTTTTTACTAAAAGCCTAGGCAAATCTAGATCAAACTAACCATGTCTAGTTTGCTTGATCCAAAACAGCAGAAGAGGAAAGGTTCTTTCGAAGAAAGAAAAATAAAAGTTTACATTATTTTCAATGTTTTCATTGACTAAGTGTTAGTCTACATTAATGTTTGCATGTTATTCTACAATGTTGGAACACTTAATGATGAAAATATATCAAAATATTTTTTTTCCTTAGATATATATTGCTCAAATTATCAACATAAGTGAGTTTATTTCCAAATATTTCCGATTGGAGATAGT